TGACTATGACGCGGCTTCCTCACGCTGCAGCAGCGCTTCCCCGGCCGGGGACAGCCTCTCCTACTACCCTTCGCCTGCGGACTCCTTCTCCAGCATGGGATCGCCCGCCAACCCCCCGGTGAGCCCCGGGGCAGCGGTGCGAGGGAGGGAGGGAGGGAGGGGGAAGCTGCGGGCGCGGGGACCTCCGGCTGGACGGGTGTGAGCTGCCCGGGGTGCCCTGCTTCGCCCGGTGCACTGGGGAGGACAGCGCTGCAGCTCAGCCCCGGAACGGGGCCACATGGGAATGCTGCCCGGCACTGGGGAAGGTCGGTGGGGGGTGGGACCGCGGGCCGGGCTGCGCTGTGCGCTCTGCGGCGGGTGTGTAAAGCGGTTTCATTGATAAAACGGGAGTTCATTGAGGAGACTCCGGAGTGGCGCCTGCGTCAGTGCAGACGTCAGAGATATTTATAACAACCCCCTTTTCATGTGGAGTCTGCTGATGACAGCGCAGCGCTCGAGCCAGCCTGGCCCCGGAGGCCGCTCGGGAGCCTCTGGGGGCCGGGGCTGGGGGGGTGCGGGCTCAGTCCCGCTGCCTCCCTGCGGCTCTGGCTCACCCTCGCTTCTCTCCTCCCCTGTCTAGGACTTCTGCACGGATCTCGCCGCCTCCAGCGCCAACTTCGTTCCCACGGTGACCGCCATCTCCACGAGCCCCGACCTGCAATGGCTGGTGCAGCCCACCCTGATCTCGTCCGTGGCCCCGTCGCAGACACGGACTCACCCCTACGGCGTCCCTGCTGCTCCCGCCGGCACCTACTCCAGGGCTCCGGTCGTCAAGGCCACCGGAGGCAGAGGGCAAAGCATTGGCCGGAGGGGCAAAGTCGAGCAGGTGAATGAATGCGCGGCCGTGGAGGGGGGATTGAGGGGGTCTGGGCGCGCGGTCCCGGCTCTCCCGGAGGCTGCGGGCAGGGCTGGCAGCGGGACTGACGGGCGCTTGTGCCTCTCCTCAGCTGTCCCCCGAGGAGGAGGAGAAGCGGAGGATCCGGAGGGAAAGGAACAAGATGGCAGCTGCCAAATGCCGCAACCGCAGGAGGGAGCTGACCGACACCCTCCAAGCGGTAAGTGGCTCCTGCCTTTTTTTTTTTTCCCCCCCCAACCCCCGGCCCCGCCGGGCTCCGCTGCCCCGAGGGCGCGGCTCCCGAGCGCCGCCTGAGCCCGCTGCGCTCTGCCCCACAGGAGACGGACCAGCTGGAGGAGGAGAAGTCAGCGCTGCAGAGCGAGATCGCGGGGCTGCTGAAGGAGAAGGAGAAGCTGGAGTTCATCCTGGCCGCGCACCGCCCTGCCTGCAAGATCCCCGATGAGCTGCGCTTCCCCGAGGAGCTGGCGGCCGCCTCCATGGACCTGGGCCCAGTGCCCAGCCCGCCGCAGGCCGAGCCCGAGGCCGAGCCCGAGGAGGCCGCCTTCGTCCTGCCGCTCATGCCTGAGCCAGCCCCGGCCCCAATCCCGGCCGAGCCGCCGAAGGCCAGCGGGCTGGAGCTGAAAGCTGAGCCTTTCGACGAGTTTCTCTTCCCGCACTCGTCCCGCGAGACCGCCCGCTCCGTGCCCGACATGGACCTGGCCGGCTCCTCGGCCTTCTACGCGGCGGACTGGGAGGCGCTGGGCGCCGGCGCCGGCGGGGAGCTGGAGCCGCTCTGCACGCCCGTGGTGACCTGCACGCCCTGCCCCAGCGCCTACACCTCCACCTTCGTCTTCACCTACCCCGAGGCCGACGCCTTCCCCAGCTGTGCGGCCGCGCACCGGAAGGGCAGCAGCAGCAACGAGCCCTCCTCCGACTCGCTCAGCTCCCCCACACTGCTGGCCTTGTGAGAGCCGGGCCCAGGGCACGGACTCCGGATCCCAGCCCCCTGCTGGTGCTGCTCGAGGGGGGCTTCCGCCTCCCTCTCGACCCCCAGCTGAGCAGGGGCAGCCCGGACCTGCGCTCCAGGACCTTGCGGGGTGCTGCTCGGGGAGGCCTCGCACCTCTTCCAGAGATGTAGCAAATCAATCGCATGGAGTTCGTCTTGTCCCCAGTGCCCCATCTATGAGAGCTGGTAGTCTGTAGCATGTCCAACATGGCTGGGTTGGTGACTCCCCTTCCCTCCTTAGTATCACTAGCATTAATTAATGAATAGCTCTTGGTTTCATGACTTGGAATTTAACCTGGTGCTGGGTTTCTCCAACTCGTTATCTAGTGCAGCTGATCTAACAATAACTACTGTGTCCCTGGCAATATCGTGTTCTGATGACTTAGCAATGACCCATCTTAACTGGGGGGGGCAAAAAGAGACTCTCCTTTATTTTCTAGTAGATAGATAAATGGCTATATCCATGTACTGTAGTTCAACATCAATGTTCATCATTCTCTTACTGATCATGCGTTGTCAAGGTGGTCTGAATGTTCTGACATAAGTTTTCCATGAAAACGTTTTTATTGTGCATTTTAATTTATTTATGAAGATGGATTCTCAGATATTTATATTTTTATTTTATTTTTTTCTACCTTGAGGTCTTTTTTGGACATGTGGAAAGTGAACTTGGATGAAACTCTTAAGCATTGTTTGCTTATTATTGTTCAGAGACGTTGTCAATAAAAAGCATTTAAGTCAAATGTGAGAGCTGCTCTGGAGTCTTTTCTGGTCCTTCTCTAACTCTAAAGTGTAGTGAAACTGGTGCCCCATGAGTTCAGGGCTCAGCAGTGAGGACAGGACTTGTCAAAGGCATCTAATCCTCTTTTGGGGGAGCGGGGAGAGAAACACTGTCTCTTCTTACAAACCATGATGCTTTCCATGGACACACATCACCTTTTAACCTTTATCACAAAGTTGTGACCCTCTGTGCTTTACAGTGTAGAAATTCTATGTTCAGAACAATATGAAGGCTACACCTGGCAATGCAAAGTAGCCCTAAGCATACAGTGATCTCCTTCACATATGGTAAGCTGGCCACCTAAATAAGATTAGATGCAACATGAAGGGGGCTGGGGCATGGGTGGAAAGGGTGGGGGATGGCAATCTAAAAGGCGCAAATGTGATGTTTTCTTGTCCATCTCTTGAGGGCTATTCATCTTTCTCCCCCTGCTGTACCTGGGCTTTACCCTCAATCATCCTGTCTGCCAGCAAAGCTGTTCACAGTGATAGTAATGTCGCCACAGGGTACTAGTGGTGCATAAAAGCTAAGGGAGCTAACATCTCTGAATCGCCACTTTGAACCAGTCATCAGGCTCAGGAACATGTTACTGCATCACTTCACATTCTCCTAATACTTAGCAACAGGAGGGCTAGAAACTTGTACTCCATACATGAAAGTACAGCTGCCACAGCATCTGTGACAAAAACTTAGCACATGTTTGACACCTTTTAATGCAACAGAACACTCTAGTAACAGTATCTTTCCCCCTCACCCAAGTTGTCCAGGTGCATATAACGCAGTGCAATTGTCAAAACATGATTATTGTACCACACCTCTTCTACCACAAAATGCTGCACCTCAGAGCAATTTTGACTCTCTTCTCCCCTGTTTTCCACTAACTTACCATGACAGGAAGACTGCTATAAATAAAATTAAGAGAGTCAGGTTGGAATGGGTCTTCAGGATCACTTAGTCCAACCCCCAGCACAGACCCACAATCTACTCATTCTAAATTTGTCCTTATCCAGCCTTTTGAAAATCTCTCCTGAGGACCATTACCTTTCTTTCTGACTGGGAAGGCATATAAAGTCAAGCTGCCATGTGGATTTATTTCTTCTATGTGGGCCAGTTTATTATAGATTATCCCACACTCTAGTTAGTTTAATTTGTATTCCCATTGTGCATAAATAGAGAGGTACATGCTCCTCTGATGAAACTACTACTAGTAGTAGTAGTATAGAATCCAGCATGCTTGACTGTAGGATGGGAGTTTCACGGGCAGCTGGAAAAAAAAGCCCTCAGGAAAAAAAGTGAAAGGGGCAAACAGAACAGCTTCTGCTGTCTCAACATCACATGCTGTCAGCATTGTAAGAGGAGTGTGATTTATCTAGCAGTGCCACTTGCTAAATAATCTGTTCCCTAGGCCAGCAGTTATTTTTGCTCAAGAAACCCACCACTTCTTGCTGCTCCTTAGTAATTGTGAAGCCCAAATAGGCCCATCTTTTTAAAGCAACCTATAAAAAGACGCAAGGGGTGCACACACGCAGTTTGTGGCATCGTAAACTGCATGTGGCATACGCACACATTTGCTGCACTGCTACCTTGCAGCACAGTGGGTTTGTTTGGACATCAGGAAATCCTGGTGTTTAAAACAAAGAAGTGCCAAAAAATGTGGCACAGCACTTGTGGTTGCAGCATGCACTACCCAAAACCAGAGCTTGACCAGACAGAGCCATGCTCCAGCTGCCAGCCAGACTCTGCATACCCAAATCATTGCTGCTGCAGCCTCAGGAGACCCCCCCCCCCCCCCCCCGCCAGGACTCCGGCGCCGCACCAGGGGGTCGCCCC